AGCATGAACTTCAAACGTGAAAGTTGAACTTTAAAAGTCTGATCATTTTGTCGTAAAGTTAGTAATATATTTCACATTGTTCATCTAATCCTACATGGAAGTGTTTTAATGTAGGCAGCTATCAAAAAATGTATACTTTAGCCCCCCCCCACTCTCTCTACGTTTTTGAAAATTAATGCATGTTCGTTGGTACCATTTTCTGAGCTAGATTTTGTAGCTCTTATGGCTGGTGATAAAATCCCTTGGAAGAAGGGCAGTGAAGATGAACGGAAAACTAAGATCACACTGTCTTATTTTGCCCATTAGTCATACGGTAGGCATTTGTGAAAAATGTACGCCCATAGAGAACTTTTTTAATTCATGTTTTCCTGGTCATGACTTGGTACTGGGATAGGGGTGAGTGAAGGGATGCACTAAGCTGTTCTGCAGCTGATACTCCTTGGTCATGTCTTTCCTTTATTTTACTTGTAGAAATGGCTGTGGAGAAGTAAAATAACTGACACTACTGGAAGTGAATATTCTGATTGTAACTTATTGCTTGCAGGCAAAACTAATCTGGTTGGTTTAGGTACAGTTCTTTTGTTCATGTCCCTAAGTTTCTGTAACTTTTGTCGTATTGTGGTTAGGAAAGTGCCTTTTCCATAACTTTACAGAGAAATGTGTGAATGTATTATGCTATAGCTACTTTGAACGGTAGAGGATATTCAACTGTAAACCCATACATTTAATCTCTCTAAATGTTGGTTTTGTGATTATTTATAGCAATATTGTATCAGGTTGAATGCTGCTAATTACAGGTCAGTTGCTTTTATAATTATAGGGCTACTATATTTGGCAGATACTTTGCTAGACAGTCATAGTCGAATGATTCAGACAGTCATTTTTCCACATTTGTATGTTCCTAATGCCGATTTGCTTATGCAGAACCGGTTAGGAGCTATTAGAATAGTTTGTGTCTCTTCTAACCCTGAGTTTTGCCATTTTGGGAGCTGAAGAACCAAATACTGAGAAACTCCAAGGATTTACTCTTGAATCCTTCTGCTAACTGAAGTTACGAGGCGGGTTAAGTTGTCTAGATGAAATCAGGAAATTACAAAGGAACGTAAAGAGATAAGTGACCATGCTACATTAAATTCCATCCTGTCAAAGTGTGAAATACACAAGTACCTTGTCCTTCAGTTGTACAGATCCTTGAATAAATGATATTGGAATTACTGAGTTCAGTTCTGGGCACTGCAAAGTAGGAAAAATGTGTATATAGGCATAGAGGGGTTACAGAACAGATTACAGTGGGGTCAAAGGTTTAAGTTTTTTAAAGACAAGGTGCATAAAGTTGTATGTTTTCCTTGAGTTTAGAAGATTGAAGGGGATGAAGTAATTAAACTATTCAATATATTTAAAAGAATTTGCTAGGGTAGAAACAGAGAAGCTATTTTCTCTGATCAGGGCACCCAGGACAAGAGTGTGGAATCATAAAGTGAGAGTGAGAACATTAAGGAGTGAAAGCAAGAAGCACTTTTTAATTCAAAGGATTGCAGAAAATTTGTTTTCCCCCAAAAGGCAACCAGAGACGTACAGTTTTATTTGGTAAGAGCATGAAGAGGTTATAAATCAAAGGTAGATAACTGGAGGTTAGAATAGTCCTATCCCAAGGAATTGAATGGTCTCCTTGTTTTCCTATGCTTTTTAAATGCTGTCAACAATTTCATTGAACTCTGACCTTGCTCACTCCATCCTTGCCTCTAAACAAATACAGCTCATTGACTTCTTTGCTATCAAGTTAACAACTACCCATTCAGCAGTGTCTGATGTTCACGCTTTATTTGATTTTTCTGACATGTCCCCTTCAGTGCTCTTTCTGCCATTATCATCCAGTTCCTGTTTCCTTGATTTATTTTTTAAACCTATTTTCCCCTCATTAGCTTCTGGAGCAGGTAGTACTTGAACCTGGGCCTCCTCTTCCGGAGATAGGGTCCCTACCACTGTGCCACAAAAGGACCCTTCTCTAATTCTTTGGTCCCATTTCCATTGAACTGTTTCCGATACATTTCGTGGCCCACTGCTCAGGTACCGATGTAAAGAATGCACTCGTTTAGGGGAATTATTCAAAGCTACTGTCTTCATCCCAATTTCTCAAGAAAAACCTTCATCTCTGCTGCCCTTGTAAACTACTGCCTCATCTTTCCCTTCTATTTCCCGTGAATCTGTTTATCACCTCCCAAGTCTGGGTTGTCCCTCCGGTGGTAATCCAATTAAGTTATAATAATTTTGGAAGAAATTGACAGGGCAGATGGAAAGCTTTTCTGCCGGTGTGGAGAGTTTTAAGATGAGGAGATAGAGAAATCAGAACCAGGTTAATTAGGAGAGAAGTTAGGAAACAGCTCATGAGAAATATGGGTGGAGCTGTCGCATACATAAAACAGTGGATTGAGCTCCGTTAATGATGTTAAATCTAAAATTGATAGATTTTTGTTAGTTGGTAGTATTATGAACTATTGAGCCAAGGTGGATAAACTGAATTAGTGTCCCATTTAGTCATAACATCTTTGAATAATCCCCTTCCTTTAACAGCCCAGTGGGTGTAATTACACTCTTAGGATTGCAGTTGTTCAAGAAAGCAACTCCCTACCAAATTCTCCAGGGCAACTAGGGATGGGCATTAAGTAATAGCCTGTTTACGATACCCACATCCCATGAATGAATAATTTTTAAAAATGGTGGAACTAATTTGAAGTATTAAATGGCTAGGAACATAAGACTCTATGAAGATTTTCTGGGACCATTAACACAATTGAGCATCCTTGTCAAATCTTTTCCATTTTAAATCTTGGGCAGATTGAGCCAAGCAAAGCAGTCTTATTTGTCTGATCATGTCGAGAGTCTTCTCATCCCGTTGCTGTCACCTATTCCCGAAGAATTCATTTGTCAGCTCCCTCTTCCACATCCTACAAACACCCCTTCCACATCCTACAAACACCCCTTCCACATCCTACAAACACCCCTTCCACATCCTACAAACACCCCTTCCACATCCTACAAACACCCCTTCCTTGCAGCATTCTGAATGATCTTCGCTCTGCTAATTGCAGCATTTCAGGAAGGTGTCTCAGTACCACCTGCTCAACAGTAAATTGCTGACCTTGGCAACAACATCCCCAACCATTTAACAAATTTTAAAAATTTCAAATGTAGCCCTTGGCAATACCATGGGCAGCATCCACAGTGACGATCAACATGCCTCTCTGTGACCATTCTTGACCTGTGCTACCTGTGCTGTTTGTGTACTGCTGGAATGTTTGTTTGCAATCCAGACTTGAATTAGGCACAGTTTTCTCCTGTTAAACGTGGTCTAGGATCCTGCCGCAAATTTTTTGTCCTCATTGCCAGTTCCACACACCCCACTCCCAGTTGAATATTAAGGGAGGTGACGGCCTGGTGGTATTATGGCTGGACTATTAATCCAGAGGTGCACGCAATGTTCTGGGAACCCAGGTTTGAATCCTGCCACAGCAGATGGTGGAATTTCAATTCAGTGCAAAATCTGGAATTGATGATAACAATGAATTGATTGTCGGGATAAACCCATCTGGATTGCTAATGTCCTTCAGGGAAAGAAATTGACATCCTTACCTGGTCTGGCGTGCATGTGACTCCAGACACACAGCAATGTGGTTGATTCTTACCTGCCCTTTGGGTGATTAGGGATGGCCAATAAATGGCCAGTAACACCCTCAGCCCATGAATAATTAAATAAAGCTAATAGGTTTTGTGCAGAGTCCAAAGACAATGCTATTACATTCCCTGGCCTATGTCTTATCTTGAACCAGATTTCTTGCAACCTCAGGAGCCTGTGTAAGGCTAGGGTAAGTTTCTGACCCCATGTATTCTCCAATGAAGAAACTGTCTATTTCTATCTTGATTTCACCTGTCCCTTCCTCCTTTCACCTTGCTTATCTGCTGAGGATAACCTCATCCACAACTATGGCCTCCTCAGGCTTAATTATTCCAGTGGTGTCCTTACAGTCAACCTATTCTCTAATGTTCAGAAAACTCCAGCAGTTCCAAAATTCTGCTCCCCATGTCCTTCCCAGCACCAAATCCCATTCTCCTATCAACCTGTCCTCCCTGACCTAAAACTGATTCACCAGTTCCAGAAATACTGCATTCCTCACTGCCATGGTTAAAATCTTGCATATACCACCTGTGGCTCAGTTGGTAGCATTCTCAACAGTTGAGTCATGAGGTTCTGGGTTCAAATCCTGTCACAGGGCTTGAAATATCACTGCACTACTGAGAGAGTGCTGCATTGTTGGAGATACTGTCTTCTGGAAGAAACATTAAACTGTAATCCATGTAGGTGGACAGGGCCTATGTAAAATATCACAAGGCACTGTTTCGAAGAACAGCAAGGGAGTTAACCTCTGCGTCCTGGCCGACATTTATCCTTCTGATAGACATCACGCAATGCTCTGATTTGATCATTATTACAGTACTGTTTGTGAGAGCTAGCTGTGCCGAAATCGGCTCTGTTCCTTACTATTGTATAACAGTGACTACTTAAAATACTGCGCTGCGTGTAAAAGGTTTTGAGAGGTCCAGGCTGTCTTATGAATGCAGCCTTCAATTTTTTTCCTTCTTCCTAATCATAGAATCCCCACAGTGTGGAAGCAGGCCATTTGGACCATTGAATCCACCTCCTACCTTGGCAACCCTGCATTTCCTGTGGCCAATCCACCTGACCTGCACACCTTTGGACTTTGGAAGGAAACCGGACTATCCAGAGGAAACCCACACAAACACCGGACAAATGAGTAAACTCTCCCACCCTTGGGTTATTGTGTGTATCGAACCCAGGTCCTTGGCGCTGGGAGGCAGCAGTGCCAACCACTGTGCCACCTGGTGCCACTCCTTGTATCCCATGCTTTGGAATCCCCTCTCGAAATCTCCACTTTCTCCTCTATTTACTTCGAGCATCAATGTGGTCCAACCATTTGGTTAGCCTCCTTTTCTGTGGCTGTCTCTGCTATGAAGTGTTTTTGAAGTATTTATTATTTAGTCAATGAAATGAGCTATTTAAAAGATATATTACTGGTATGCTTCGCTCTGTTTCCATCCCTAGTGTGTATAGTTTTGTCCCCATTGCAGTGCTGTGGCTCCACCTTATGAAGAGTACAGATATTACAAGAAAAGTAATTTCCATTTCAAATTTGGAAGTGTCCCGGAACAATGTGAAATGCCCCTGATTCAGAACTGTGGGGCCCTGATCCCTACATTTTAATTTGGGGATGTAAAAGGCTATGAATTATCAGGAGAACACTGCAGTCTTTTTCAGGTACTAAAGACTTTCCAAAGTGTTTCACACCTAAAGATTTGCAGTTTTTTTTGCAGCAGCAGCCAATTTGTGTATATCATAATCCCAAAGAAATAGAAAATGAGATAAATGAACAGGTTAATCTGTTGAGTCTTGGCTGGGTCAGCAGCGTAATCCCCTGTCTTTCAAATGGAACCAGGGCCCCTTTGCATTCTGTTGACGGGTGGAGAAACTACTATGTGGTAATTCTGATACTGTAGTACTCTGTCAGTACAGTGTTTATTTTCTGTTCCAAAGTTCTGAAGCAGTCCTTTTAATTCATAATCTGATTCATGATTATCACTGAATGAGATGACAATCTATTGTCTTTAGGTTTTGAGGACAAATTTTAGTCACTTTTTCCCCCGTTTCATTTTTTCCTGTTTTCTGCCTTCTCCTTTCTTGTGCACGTTTGTTTCTTGTTCTAATAGCAATCCCTAATAGAATCCCCTGAAGTGTCAGCAACAGTTCAGCTTTACTATCTTTTCTTTCTTCAATGACCTTTTTTAACTAATAAGTTATCCCGCTGTAACCTTTTGCAGTCTCGCTCGCATTCTCTCTTTCTTGTTCTGTTAGATTCTTTGCCTGCCTTAGTTCCTCTCTTGTTCCACCTAAAACATTTTTCTTCCTTCATACCATTCCTATTTCATTCACTTCTGTTGAAGTGCCTCACTGAAACATGAACTTCTTTCTTTTTCAGATGTTTGCTTTACATTTCAGACTTATTTTCAGATTTCCGTCAATTTTGCCCTGTGCCTCTAGTTACTTGATTGGAATCCCCATCCACTTGGTTAAACATCAACTCCCTCTGTCACCAACGCACAGTGGTAGCAGTCATCAAGATGCTCTTCAGAAATTCACTAAAGCTCCTTTTGACTTATAAACCTTCCAAGCTGTGATCTCTACCACCTAGAACAGGGCTTCCCAAAGTGTAGGTTTGTGTTAAAATTAGGGGTCACAAGCTTTAAGACAGCATTGTGCGCTATGGTGCTCTGACTGAGTTATAACAGCTGTGTCTACACTAACAGGACTGTTTATGCTCGCAGATCCCCACCTGAACATAAGGACATAAGAGCTAGGAGCAGGAGTAGGCCGTCCGGCCCTTCGAGCCTACTCCGCCATTCAATAAGATCATGGCTGATCTTTTCGTGGACTCAGATCCACTTACCCGCGTTCTCACCGTATCCCTTAATTCCTTTATTGTTCAAAAAAAATCTACCTTATCTTTAAAAACGTTTACTGAAGTAGCGTCAACTACTCCACTGGGCAAGGAATTCCATAGATTAACAACCCTCTAGGTGAAGAAGTTCCTTCTCAATTCAGTCCTAAATCTGCTCCTTCTAATCTTGAGACTGTGCCCTCTTGTCCTAGCTTCACCTGCCAGTGGAAACATCTTCTCTGCTTCTATCTTATCTATTCCCTTCATAATTTTATATGTTTCTATAAGATTCCCCCCTCAATCTTCTGAATTCCAATGAATATAATCCCAATCCACTCAGTCTCTCCTCATAAGCCAACCCCCTCAACTCTGGAATCAACCTAGTGAACCTCCTTTGCACCCCCTCCAGTGCCAGTACATCCTTTCTCAAGTAAGGAGACCAAAACTGCACACAGTACTCCAGGTGTGGCCTCACCAGCACCTTGTACAGCTTCAACATAACCTCTCTGCTTTTAATCTCAATCCCTTTAGCAATGAAGGATAAAATTCCATTTGCCTTCCTAATTACATCGCTTTCACGTCAACCTTGTGATTTTGTGACAATTTTAAAACCTGAAAATGAGGTCACAACAGGAAAAAAATTCGTAAAAGCATTATTAACCTTTAAAGGATAATGACAGTAGATAAATGGGAACACCACCAGCTACAAATTCCCCTCCAAGCCCCATATTGTTCTGATTTGGAAATATATTGTTATTTGTTTGCCGTTGCTGTGTCAAAATATTGGACTCCCTCCCTAACTGTGTGCTGAGGGTCTATCTACACCACATGGTCTAAGAAGGTAGCTCACTGCTACCTTTCCCATAGGGATGGATAATAAATGCTTGCCCAGCCAGCAATGCCCACATCCTCTGAACAAACAATTTCCAGGTTCTTGAAATTACACTGTTGTATTTATAATTTTGTTTAATGAAAAGTTAATTCAGTTTTATCTTCAAACTTGTTCAGAGAAATGCTTCATTCTGTGATTTAATGGAAATTGTCTATTATGTTGCAGGGACTGATTGGGAATCTGATTGAATAACATGAGCTGGAGTTTTCTGACGCGCCTTCTTGAGGAAATCCATAACCATTCCACATTCGTTGGTAAACTGTGGCTGACTGTCCTTGTTATATTCCGCATTGTGCTGACAGTGGTTGGAGGAGAATCTATTTACTACGATGAACAGACCAAGTTTGTTTGCAATACCCAACAGCCAGGTTGTGAGAATGTTTGCTACGATGCCTTTGCTCCGTTATCCCACGTGAGATTCTGGGTATTCCAGATAATTCTGATTGCAACCCCATCTATTATATATCTGGGTTACGCTGTGCACAAAATTGCCGCAACAGAAGATCATGAATACGAACAGCGGAAGCCAAAGAAACACCAGTATGCAGTGCAGTGGAAACAGCACCGTGCTTTGGAAGAAGCTGAGGATGATAACATAGAGGATCCCATTCTATATCCAGAGATAGAACTGCATAGTGATAAAGAGAACCAAGATCACAAAAGCCTGACCAAGCATGATGGGAGGCGTCGCATAAAAAGGGATGGTCTAATGAAAATTTATGTTTTGCAGTTGCTCGCCAGGACTGCCTTTGAGTTGAGTTTTCTTGTGGGCCAGTATATTTTGTATGGCTTTGAGGTGACTGCGAGATATCAGTGTGAAAGGGATCCATGCCCTCATAAAGTAGACTGCTTCGTATCTAGGCCAACAGAAAAGACCATTTTTCTGCTAATAATGTATGCAGTAAGTTGCCTTTGTTTAATAATAGACATATGGGAGTTGATTCATTTGGGATTTGGCATGATCAGGGATATACTGCGAAACAAGCAAAACTCAATGACAGAGGCAAATTACAGTTACCCATACACGTGGAACACCCCTTCAGCTCCCCCTGGTTACAACATTGCAGTCAAACCAGATCAGATTCCATATACAGAACTTTCAAATGCTAAAATGGCTTGCAAGCAAAATAAGGCTAATATTGCTCAGGAGCAGCAATATGGTAGTAATGATGAGAACATCCCAGCCAACTTGGAAAGTGTGCAGCAACAGCTGAAACTGGCTCAGGAGCGACTGGACCTGGCTTTCAAGGCTTACAATGAGCACAGTAACTCCTCAAACCATCCCAAAGACAAGAAGAAGTCTGGATCAAATAAGAGCAGCATAAGCAGCAAATCTGGAGATGGGAAAACCTCTGTGTGGATTTGATAACTATTTTGTTGCTCAACTAGTTCAGTTACTTTTGGACTTGAGGCTAACTTATTATGAATGAGTAGTTCATATATATTTCTGTCAGTCAAGATAAATAGGCATCTGAGATCCGGTTCATGAACAAAATGTGTTGCCTACTGCATTTTTGGTTTATTTTGGCTCCTTCTACAGAGGTCTAGATTGGAACTTGCTGCACATTAAGCTTTGTTTTGAAGGACTCTGTTTACTGTGAGGTTGCTTTTGTTAGGTAGACTTTTTGGCAACTTAATTAGCATTATTGAATTTGATGAAATTATTCCTTCTAGTTGCTGTATTGCCAAGTTGGGCATAAGTATTTTGAAAATCGAATGCAGCTTTAACTATTCAGCCATATATAAGTGCCTTGGAAAAAGGGCAGGAACAAATGGAAGATACAGGCCAGTTGTAGTTGCAGCTCGTGTTGCATGGTTAGTGAAAGGTTATTTGAAGAATTTTGTGTAAAATGTTGTTCTTTAGATATTAGGGTCAACAGTGCTTCTATACCATTTTTGTATATTCATACTTGCACGCAACATTTTAAGGATAATGATTTATCAAGACCAGATACTGACTTTGGTTAAGACACATTATACAACGCTTTGAGAATAATGGCTGTTTCTTTGGATAATTCCCATTTTGTCAAAATTAAGTTATATCTGATTACATTAGGTCTTCCTTGATGTATTGAAATTGTTACAGATGCAGAATCTCTTTTGATTCTAGCGTTGCTGTAAAGTAACAGTAATGTTTGATTTGAGGTGTCATTGATAGCAGTGCACATTCAAGGAATTGCGCTGTCCAAGATTTGATTGGTAATCATGATCCTAATCCCAAATCATTCAAGGAGTACCCTACATAAGAAGAAGGAAGATAAGCAACGAGCACAGAAATGTGTTGAAATCAAATGGGATAAGGTTTGAAATTGGTACTTAATAGAGGCACTTCATAAATCAAACATTCTCTATTTAAGAGACTGGTGATGCTAAACTATCTTTTATTGTTTTAAATGCAGCTTTTTCTTATTTTTCATCTTCAGTCAGAAGATGTTAGGTTTAATTTTGAGTTGTATGCATCGTGAGTAAAAGAGCATGTTTCTGGAACATATTGTTGGTACCACAGTATTGTAGAACTTGGGAACTACAATATTTTGACGTGCTCCTGAACATGATGCTTCTTTTGAAGAATGATTAGGTGCAAAGAGCAGGCAAGTACCATAGCACCTTAGGTAGTAAGGTTTCTTGAGAGAAGACTTCCAAATATTACTTTTCTCTTATTTCCCCAATTGGTTAACCAAAGTGAACATTATATGATCAGTTGGTGAGCTTCATCAATATTTGCTGAAGTTGTCAATATGAACCATAAAGAAACCATCATATTTACTTTGGTGACTCATCATTTTGATTTAGGTTAGTATTCCAAATCTCATAAAATGACCCTCGTCGTCTGAATGGCAGTGTCCTGAAAGCCAATATTGAGTGTTCTATTGTTTAAAAGCAGATGTTTACACTTTGTGTAGAATAAATATCATTTTAGGGCAAATTTGGAATACAGGTTATCATAGTATAGGTTAATGACGCACATTTAGGAGAAATATCCTTTTCTCATTTTGGATTTTACATTTCTTGTAAGGAATTTTTTGATGATCCACCTTAGTATTTTTAAAAATGGAGTTGCCAAATTAAAATCCGCTCTCTTCAAATATTATTTCAAAAACAGTCAACTCTGACTTCCAAGGCACCAAATGTACCTTTTTTATGTACTGGAACAAATTGTAACATTGAAGAATGCCTTTTGGTTGGTTTCAGTCCATTGCATATAGCCTTGTACTTGGCTAAGTGTTTCTGTAGGTCAAAATGATAGAGAAAATGCAAGAAATCACTGAGGACCTTTTTAGTTTAACCATCATTATATTTTTAATGGAAAGTTTAACATGTGCTGCTTTCCGAGCCACAATAATATTAGGTACAGAGTAGTTTTGTTCCAGTTATTTGCAGTATTGTGATTACCAACTGATTTGAAATATGTTCTCTTCATGGTGTAAAAGTTGCTTCTGATTGGTTGAAAGCACCATTGTGACTTTAATGTTAAGGCAGTATTCTACAAAAGGTCTTTTACCTTTCTAACTAAAAGGGAACGTAGATAAAACATTAAATATTTTTAAGAACATTTGAACTGTGTAAAAATAAGTGTACTTTTATGTAATTGTTTTTGAATTTAGCTACACAGCATATCTTTAATGAAGTGATTGTAGTGCCAAATGGGAAAACTGTCTAATTTGGTGATTCAATGAGTCACTTTATGAAAAAAAAAACATTGCCATAAGGAACAGAAACAGGTGCCTTTTTTGTGTTGCTGTTACCTACAAAAAACAAACTTCATGCTACATTCCAAACTCTGCAGGAGACCTATTTTGTTTCACGGTGAAAATGTGCATTGTCTTTTAATTGTGTCACACAGTTGTCTAAGGAAATATAACTTGTCATTGCAATATCTATGCAAATTATTCTAGTTTTATATGATACAGAAGGATGTTTTAAAAAATACATGTCTTTGTATTTGGGGAAAAAAATGTTTGAAAGTCCGTTATCTGCATGTTTCAAAAATACTTCAAAGTTGTAACTGCAAATAGAGGTTTTGTTCTATATATTGTCTGCTTTATCTTCTTACTGGTGCGTGTTTGTGTATTCAAACTTAATGGTTTCCTTCCACCAATTTTTATGGGACATCAGTCAACTTCCATCTCTCGGTTTTTAGTACCAGTTGTGTTTAGGACAGGATTTTAAGTATACCAATGTTAGAGCATTGTGTTCAACTTGACACCACACTTTAGGAAGGGAGCAGAAATGATTCATCAGAATGATCCCAGGGGTGAGGACTGGAGGACAACCAGCGTGGTTCCACTTTTTTCAAGAAGTTGGTAGCAATAAGGCATAGAGTTATAGAGCAGTCAGTCCCATATCAGTGGTAAGAAAATAAGCCAAGAAAATTCGGAAGGAACATTAATCTCCATTTAGAGAGGTAAGATTTTAATCAGGGATAGTCAGCATGGTTTTGTCAGAGGGAGGTCATGCCTAACAAATCTGTTTGAGTATTTTGAGGAGGTGACCAAGTCTGTAGATGAGGGTAGTGCAGTTGAGTGTCGTTTATATGGACGTCAGTAAGGACTTTGACAAAGGCTGATAAATAAAGTAAAAGCACCTTAATTGAGATTATGTTCATATCCTGATTTAGTGTCACTACATTTGGGAAAAGGTGGTACTGCCTCTTCAGTGACAAAAGCTTTCAATTATCACTAAATGCACTGTTGTCTTGCTCTCTAGTGCTATTGTCTCCCACTTGACAGTGCATTGGTTCCTTCTTCGTGTTATGGTGTGGTCTGTGTTCCAAGATATTGCTCCTCCTGAATGGCAGGATGTGCCCCAGACTGTGTTAAAGTTCAAGAGGTGGAGCAGTAATGTTCATTTGAAGCACTTTTGTTATGTTTCTCAGCTGTATTTTCACAACGGCATTAAGTGAGTGCATTAGTGCCAAGGTGGTGCTTCCTCCCAAATTCTTTTCATTCAGGAGAGCAATAAAAATGTCAGTTTCTGGATGACCAACACCATTCCAGCACCTAAAAAAGCACATGCAACATACCTTATTGACTACCCCCCAGTCGCTCTGACCTCCATAATCATGGAGTGCTTCAAGAGGTTGGTCATGACCCGCCACTCTTGCTTTCCAGTTTGCCTTGATCCCCTGCAATTTGCCAACCGACTTAACAGGTCCACAGTGGATGCCATTTCCCTAGCCCTACACACATCCCTGGAATATGTGGACAACAAGCACACCCACATTAGACTCATGTTCATTGACTACAGCTCCGCCTTCAACATCATTATCCCCTCCAGACTGATCTCAAAACTCCGTGACCTTAGTCTCGGCTCCACCCTCTGCCACCGGATCCTCAACTCCCTGACCCACAGACCGCAATCAGTGGAGATAGACAACTTCTCCTCCTCCACGATGAGCCTCCCAAGGATGCTGTATTCCCTGTACACCCATGATTGAGTAGCCAAATTTCAAATGAACGTCATCTACAAGTTTGCTGATAACACCACTGTGGTGGGATGGGTATCAAACAACGATGACTCAGAATACAGAAAGGAGATAGAGAGCTTGGTGTCGTGGTGGAATGATAACAACCTCTCTCAATGTCAGCAAGACAAAACAACTCGGCATTGATTTCAGGAAGAAAGGAGGAGAACATGCCTGCATCTACATCAACTGAGCAGAGGTTGAGCGGGTTGAGAGTGTCAAGTTCCTAGGAGGGACAATAACTGGACTTCTCACTTAGATGCAATGGTCAAGAAGGCACAACAAACTGCAGAAGGTTGTATGCACGTCCCAGACATCACAGAAGCCAACCTCCCATCCATGGACTTCATTTCTTGTTGCTGTGGAAAGGTTGCCAACATCATCAAAGCCACTTCCCACCCCGGTAATGCTCTCCTACAACCTCTTGCATCAGGCAGAAGGTTGAACACATGCACCAACAAGTTCAGGCACAGCTTCTGCCCTGCCGCTTATTAGACTGATGAATAGACTCTCTAACTTCAAATAATGTTATTCTTGTTAATGTTGATCTTCACACACCTATGCAGTGTAACCTGTATGCTTCACTCTGTCCAAGCACCCTATGCTCTGTACAACCTCGCTTACTATGATTTGCTTATACTGCTCCGAAACAAAACTTTTCACTTTACCAAATCAAATCAAATAGGAGTTATGAGGTGGGGTGGCAGCTGAAAGCTTTAGTATGCAACTGATTTGCTGAACAATGTCTCTACTTATGAATATTAAGGGTTGGAAAAAGAGAGAAAAAATCTTTGATAATACCCGTCTGGGCCACAAGATCAGGAGTCACACGACGCCAGGTTATAGTCCAACAGGTTTGTTTGGAAGGACAAGCTTTCAAAGCCTCGCTCCTCCTTCAGCTGTTAGTGAGTGGGGCTTCGAAAGCTTGTGTTTTCGGGTAGACCTGTTGGACTGTAACCTGATGTCGTGTGATTTTCTGACCTTGCCCACCCCAGTCCAACACCGGCACCTCCACATCATGTCTGGACACAGGAATTGATGAGTTGTTTTATTTTAGTTGCTTCTGATTCTTTTTAATCCCTTGATGATGACACAAGTGTGTTTGCGCTCCAATGTTCAGTCTTTCACTCATTACAAATTGTCGTCTTTCAGAGCTGCTTTTCCTCCTTTCTCATTTCAACAAGGGAACTTACAGAGGAAGGCAGCTGGCTGTGACGGGAGACTATCTGGTACCTCCACACAAGAGATAGGGACATTTTTTAATGCTTTCTCATTGCAGGCTGTGCAACTCTCTATTGCACTGGCCCCAAATAAACTATGTTCACCTGGTCAGGACCCAATTAAAACATTATTGCTTAGCAATTGCCACTCAGTTCAAAGACCACTGAGTCTGTGTTTCTGCTTTTGCTCTCAAAGTTCCAGGAAAACGCAGCATTGTATACAACTCACAATGTGCTCCATAAATATAATTTTTAAACTTTAAACAGTCTCTTTGGATATAATGTAACATCTTTTTTTTTTTAAGTCCACACACCAAAAATAAAGATGAAAAGATGTGGTCTTTACAGGGGATCAGAAAAAGAGAAAAAGTAATAAAGTTGAAGTCAATGTAACACTGCACGTATGTGAGTATATACATTGTGACCATGCTGTGACTTTAAGAAGTTGTTTTGTCTTAGTTTTATTTGAAGAGAGGTTGTAGGACAGAAGTGCTGAGCAGTCTACCAGACCACTACAGTAAGTAGCTTGGGAAGCCTTCGGTTTTTTAATTAACAGCCTGAATGGGTGTGGCCAGCTCTCACGGATCAGGGTTTCTAGGTTTTTAGGTTTAACTTTAAGTAGAAGCTATTGGGATCTCAACAGAAGCTTCAGTGAATGTCGCCTGGCTGCTATTCTCTCTGAATTGTGTCTCGATGTTTTTTTCCCTCCTGAATTGGAGAACTGCATGTGAGAATCTGTGTCTAAATATTCCTTTTCTCCGAGGGGTGTGTTTATGGGATGTTACTATATTGGAACAATTAAGTAGTAATGGTTACCACATCTATTATTCTATAAACTTTCCCAATAGAGTTGAGGTATTCTAAACTCCCCTTTCTTTGGTTGTATTTTAACTATAGTGCTTAAATAAATTGTGTTTTTCTTTAACATTGAGGAATTTGACCAGTCTCATTGCATCTGGAACATGCACTTCACATTTGCCTTTAAAAATAAGAAAAAGTTAGGACCTAAGCTCCCTTCTTAAAGTATTACTAGGGGTCACAATTTCAAGGTGAGAGGGGAAAAGTTTAAGGGAGATGTGCGTGGAAAGTTCTTTACACAGAGAGTGGTGGGTGCCTGGAACATGTTGCCGGCGGAGGTGGTAGAGGCAAGCATGATAGTGTTATTTAAGATGTATCTAGACAGATGCATGAATGGGCAGGGAGCAGAGGGACACAGATCCTTGGAAAATAGGTGACAGGTTTAGATAGAGGATCTGGATCGGCGCAGGCTTGGAGGGTTGAAGGGCCTGTTCCTGTGCTGTAATTTTCTTTGTTCTTTGTACTTCTGATCTACGAAACGTAAAGGGTATTTGTTGCTCATCCAGAGTACGTTTATATTCTGTGCATTATATCAAGTTCTGAGAAAGTTTCCTATCAGAACTCAACCATTAACTGTGTTCCTCTTTTCACTGATACTGCCAGGCCCATTGAGTTTCTCCAGCATTTTTGACTTTTATTTCAGATCTCCAGCATCCACAGTTTGGGTTTTTTTTTTGTTTGCTTTTATTTCACATTTTATGTTCTATTACCTGATGTATAAGTCCATTCACTGGGAGTGAGGCTTTCTTTATGGAATTTTTTTTTCCTTTAGGGCACGAGTGTACTTAACCATA